CAGCCTTCTGTGTGATTCGGTCTGAGTGTCCCCGTGTCTCCCTGACCCTCTCCCAGGGAAAGGCCAGCAGGTTCTGTCTGCTTCTCCTTTGTGATCCAGGCACCTCCTTTCCTGCTTCCTCTTCTCAGAAGCTGCCTGAAGCCTCTTCCCCCTTTCAGACAAGTGAGCAGAGCCGCTGAAGGGCAGGTGTGTGCAGGCCAGCACTGTCTGCCAGGACTCTGCAACGACAGAAGTGTTCTGTCTGTGCGGTCTGACAGCCTCCATCTCCATCCTCTTGGACCTCAACCCGGTCCAAGAGTTAAACCAAAGTGAGACAGACGAACGGAAAAAAAAGCACGTAGGTTTCTGTGGTATAAGCTTTGTGTGGCATGTGGACCCTCATAAGGGAATGAAGGCCCAAAGAACAGCCGAGTCAGGTAATTACCTGTTGAATTGGTCAGCAAATATTCACCTGTGGGGGCCGGCAGGTGGCGTGGTGGTTAAGGGTGCTGGACTCCCATACGGTCAACCGCAGTTCGAGTCTCGAATCTGGTGTCTTACTTTCTCGCTTTCTCTCTCTCTCTCTCCCCCTCTCTGGTCAAAATAAAATAAATAAATAAAGTTAGATAAAATAATTCCTTTTTAAAAATAAAAAATAAAAAATAAATGTTCACCTATGAACCAGGAATAAGGCAAAGAGGTTTGTCTAGAGTATTTAACTGGGAAGAGATAACTAGGAAGATACCACTTAGTTAACAAAGTTTATGTGTACAGAATTGTCTTGGCCTTAATTCCTTGCTTTTAATATTGCTTTGAATGCTTTTTTCCCTGTATAGGGAGGACATTTTCTTTCATTTCTTTCTTTCTTTTTTAGAGGTTTTTGCTATAGGGTGCATGCACTCGCCAGATAGACAGAGAGAGACAGAAAGTGAGAAATCATCCCCCAGGGGGGATGGCCACACCACAATCCCTTCTCTTCCATTCTCCTCTCGGGATCTTGGGCACGCACACACATGTGCCCAGCATGAGTTTAAGCCACCGGGTCCAGGACTAGAACCATGGTCGACTACATGGGAGTCCAGCGGCATAGCCATTACTCCAACTGCTGGTCCTTTTTTTCTATCTTTTACTTTTTAAATTTTGCTATAGGGTGAAGGCACTCTCTGGAGAAAGGGAGAGAGAAAAAGAGAGAGAGAGAGAGATGAGAAACAGAAGAACTCTTCACCCTGGGGAGGATGGCCATGCCACAATCCGTTTTCCTCCTGGGGTTTTGGGCACACATGCACACATATCCTGTGTGTTTTTCAAGTCGCTGGGTCTGAGATGCACACCACATAGTCAGCCACGTGGGATGCAGGTGCATTAACCTCTGAACACTTGCTGGCCCAGAGGGGATGTCTTTCACATGGAATTTCTTCTCTTGTTTTTAAGAAACAACATGGTAGTCAGAGTGATCTTCAAGAGAAGATCAGCTCTTTCTCAAGTGTCTTTAACTTAAATAGTCAACACGTCAGGGTCATAGATTTTTTTAAGCTCATTTTATTTATTTATTTAAATTGCCAGTAGGGATGTACAGTCACCTGAGAAAGAAAGAGAGAGAGAGAGAGAGAGAGAGAGAGAGCACTCCCTCCACCATGAAACACGGTCACACCACAATCCCGTCTCCATTTCTCCGTCCTATTGGGATTTGAGGCATGTACGCACATGTGTCCAGTATGCTTTTCAGGCAACCAGGACTGGGATTGCAGCTATGGTCGGCCATGAGAGAGCTAGTTCCCTTAACCACTAGGCTATGGAGCTGGTCCATTTTATTTATTTCTTGACAGAAAAACAGAGAAGAGATACAGACACTCTGTCAGGTATTCCATCGGGTGGATGGTTCTCTGGCCCAGCCTTCTGTGTGATTCGGTCTGAGTGTCCCCGTGTCTGCCCTGACCCTCACCCAGGGAAAGGCCAGCAGGTTCTGTCTGAGCAGGTCCTGACAGAGTCCAACCAGGCCATGATCCTGCTCATATCTCCCACCCAGCCAAGATCACAGGTACATCCCTTGTGCTTAGGTCAACCTGGGATTTATTTATTTATTTATATATTTATTTATTTATTTTTAAATTGCATTTATTTAATACAATTTGTTATTATTACTTTTTAATTTGATCAGAGAGAGAGAGAGAGAGAAAGGGAAAGGGAGAAAGCAAGACATCAGGGCCGGGACTCAAACCGTGGTCTCCCATGTGGGAATCCAGCACCCTTAACCACCACGCCACCTGCTGGCCCCCAAACCTGGGATTTAAACCCAGGCCTCCAATATGGCTCCAGTAGGGCCCAGCAGCACCCCACTGCCTACATTACCATGGTGGGGCCCAGAGGGATGAACATGTTAATAACTCTTTGGTAACCATTAGCTACAGGTGTCTACTGAGAACTTGAAATGTGCCTACTGTGGCCAAGAAAAGGAAGTCCACATTTTATACAATATTATGCAATTTAAATTTAAATGGCCTTATGTGGAAAGTGGGCTCCATCCTGGACACATATGTAGGCAAAATAGCCTTTGATTCTCCTCCGGGACAGCTCTTGCTTCTTCCTAGTTGTCCTTTTTTCCCCTCCTGCTTTGGAGACTTTTCTTTCTTTCTTTTAGGGAAATATTTTATTTAATTTTATTTACTTATTTTAAGTTGATCAGAGAGAGAGAGAGAGACAGAGAGAGAGTGAGAAGGCAAGTCAGCAGGTCCAGGACTCGAACCACAGTTGGCCATGTGGGAGTCCAGCACCCTTAGCCACCATGCCACCTGCCAGCCCCTTGCTTTGGGGACTTTTCGTCTGTCCCTTAGTCAGGCCTTATTCTAGGGTTTGTCTCTCTGCTCTGGTCCTCCTCCTCCCCCATCCTCTAGGAGAAGAAAACACTTGCTCAACCCAGCAATTAAGGTTTGAAGTTTTTCTCCCACTTTGTACTGTGGGAAGGAGGGGAGTGCCTGAAGGTTTCTTGTGAGAAAGAAGAAAATGTGGATAATAACCAGAAACAACCGCAAATGTCAGGATATACTCCTGCCACCCTTAATTGCAAGTTCTAGTATAGAGGAGGCCATCATTCCAACTCCTTTCCAGCTGACTACAGATTGGAAAATGCGTGCTTTAGGATAGGGATGGAGAATTCTTCGTGCAAATATACACTTTCTAGACCCTGGACTCCAGGAGATCTTGACAACAGTTAGTGCCTAGACATCCTTCAGAGCTTCTGTGCTGAGCCAGGTTTGGAATTCCTTTAATCAACACGCTGATGCACTTAGGAGCTTTGAGTTGGCCCCACTCCATGAAATCCCCATAGAGAGCTCTGCTTTTCAAATGCTTATGTCCACTTTATGCAGCTTTTCTCTCTTCACTCCTGTGTTTACTGCTGCCTCCAATTTCCTGCCTCCCTCTTTCCCCTGAAATGCACCAAATGCACAGGAAGCAGCAGTGGAGGGCCAGCAGTTGGGGGTGAGCATAATGCATGTGCAGGTAGTAATCCCAGTGCTCTCCTGAGGAACAGCTGGGACTTCCTTCTGTCTCTTGCAGTGTCCTGCGAAGGATGAACTCTGTGACATTTGCTTTAGTAACCTTTCTTTCCAGGACTTTGGCCCCTCTTGCCTTTTTCTCTAAGGACAGGTTTCATTTTCTTAGATACATTTTAGGTGCCAGTGCCCACAATGTAGTTATTAATAGCTGGGATTGTCATACATTCTCATTTGGCAGTGAGTTTATATTTGCTTCTCCAACTCTGCTTTAGCATTGCCAAGCATAAATAGTCTAGACATTGTATTAAAAAATAACTCCCTCTGGGACAGGCCTGGCAGTCTCTGGCACACAGTCCATCTATCTATGGATACTTCAAGAGATTGAAGTCTTCCTGGCGGCAGGAATAAAGTCCCAGGAGAACCACTCCCTGCAGCCAGCATTATATAAAGGATGAGCAAGCTCAGTGGCTCACATCTATAGAAAAGAATTTAGTCGATAAAGAGTGGATTATGCATATATTGCATATGCAACAGATTTATAACCAAGTAAGAGAGGACCAACACAGTTGCTCTTTAGGGAGGCGTAAAAATAACTCTGATTTTATACTGGGGAAGATGATACATTCAACATCTTGCTCTTGGAGATAAAAATGGTGTTTCTGCCAGCTGTTGCTCCTTTTTCGGTGGGTAGCATCCAACACGTGATGCCATTCCTTTCCGTGGTTGTCTTATAATAGATTCCCTTTTGCAAAACTTGCTCATAGGTTGAGAGTTTCCGTCTGTACCCCGTTCCTTCCTCTTGTCCCACTGTCATACGAGAGTGGGGATAAGCAAAGGGTCTGACGCTGCGGAGCCGGGCGATTTCCGACTAGAAGCCATGGGCACCTCCTATTCCGCCTACCGAAGCGGTGAAGTCCACACTGGCCCCAGGACCCCTTCCGAGGGCCACGCCCCCGTGAAGCCCCGGAGCCGCTCTGCGCGCTCGGGCTCCCGCGGCTCTGAGGCCTTCTGGGAGTTGTAGTTGGCCCGCCGCGCGCCCCCACCGCCACGGCGACGCCTGGACTACAAGTCCCGAGCGGCGTTGCGCGCCGCGCTTGCGCACCCGGCGGTCTGGAGGGAGGCGGAGGCGCCCCGGGGGCGTCGCGAGCAGGCTGAGGAGTCTGCGGCGGGGGGGGGGGGGGGGGGGCGGGGCACGCGAGACACA